AGTTGCCTTTACAAGTTGCTGTTGATCCTCCGCTCACCATTTTACAATTATGTACTCAACTAGAGCAAGTCCATCAAACGAAAGCCCATTTGGGCAACCCTGCAAATAATGAATCCTGCTGTTAACACCCCAAAAAATCACCAACTTAATGAGCCCCAGACCTCTTCCTATACTTGAAGTAAGAACCAAAATAGTTCTCGCTAGCTGGGGAAAAACTGTCGCCTCAAACAAGATATTTTTCCAACAGAGGTGAATCAAGCAGGACACATTCCATGCGGATCTCGCTGAGTTCTGGAACATCAAAACCTTGTCATAGCATGATTGGGTTTACCAGGGCGCAAGGACAGAAAATCAATGAATCGACCAATCATTCAAGAGAACACAGGTCATTGGGGCAAGCCCAATGAGTTTCAGAATGGCAACCTCAAACAAAGGGTGTGTTCATCTGATCAAATGTTTCCTGTTGGCGCGGGGTCCTTCAGCTTTTGCCCACACCCAAAAACTTCATACCAACCCATCCAAAAACGAGAGCACAAGCTTTCAGCTGCCCAAGCACAAGCTTTCAGCTGAACTTCTCCAAGAGATTCTTGGCCCATCCAAAGGCCAAACTGGATGATCTCTTGCTTGGCTACATCTTCCAGCAGAATCTCCTCCTCGCAAGCATGCGAGCTGGATGGCAAATAGGGCATCTTGCTCAGCTGTGCTCCGCAAGATACGGCGCCACTTAACCAAAGAACTTTCTAACACTACTTTATCTGACTGGAAAAGACATGATGTGGATGCAGACATGACCAACTCGACCAAGTCTCCTCCCAAACGAGCTGCTCGCTGGCCACTGTTTGGCCACCTCCTCGCCATGGTTTGTGCTGCAGCTCTTTGTCCAGGACCTTCACCTATCGAAGTCGATTTCACCACTCTCAAAGCTTCTAGAACTCTCGAAGCCTCTGGAACCTTCCCTGCAATAGGCTTTTACACTTGGGTTGACGCTGATGGATAGGGGGGTCCCTCTATAAGCCCCTCCGAAATCGTTGAGCCACCCGGAAGATGTGAGCGAAAACGAAAGCGGTGTGGCCAAAATAGAGCTGCCAAATGCTTTGGGTTTTCCAGCATGTATCGCCAGGTAGTTTGCATCAAAAAAGAAACAAACTTGCCAGGCACATCTATGTCTACCACGCATAGTCCATCTGACGATCGAGTTCCTCGCTTCGAGCACTTGGCGGAATGTACCCGAACCACGAAGGAGCGTAGACTCCAGATCTGCAAGGACATGGGAATAATGGCTTGCCGTACCACGTCGTGAGTGGTAGACTCGTCGGGATCAAAGTGTGGCATCATGCTGGGCAAGGTGGCGTAGAAGTCCTGAGCGGATTGAAGTGACAACTGTAACAACCACTGAGGTTTGGAACCGACTGATATCTACAAGTGAATGGTTGCAAAACTAGTTTGAAGAAGAAGAAGAAGAAGAAGAAGAAAATGGAAGAAGAAGAAGAAGAAGAAAAAGAAGAAAACGATGCAATTTCTATAGAGGATGACTGCTCCGCGGATTCCGCTGGTTTCTTCTTTCCCGAGAATTTCTGCAGAGATCCTCCACCGATGGCGCAATTGGTATAGGCACTAAATGACTGGGGAGTGCGTTCGCAGGTGCATCCCGAAATCCCCATGGAACCGTTCCAAAGAACGGCCCATGGACACCACCGCACATGGACAGCCGGACTTGCCATGTCAGGCGAAGTGCACCTCCTACACATTGCAACCGTGCATCCAGCAGTTGACGGATTGTAATGCCTCGCATGGCCAATTCCTCCACTTTTTCGGCCCATGCAGCGTCCTGTTCTTGGGATGGATCCTCATCGAGGAGATCAAGATCCAATGCCAACCTTAGACGCTCGAACAGTTTGTATAATTCGAGAAACAACTAGTTCACTCACACTCCCTACCACAACTCAACCATCCCTGCTCCTGAAGATCCTGAAGCCGATTCACAACCTATTTTCAGAGCTAATCGTCGAAGTTCAAAAAGGCCACAACTATTACGCACCCTCATCAATCTCAAAAGCTTTTGAAAAGAGTCCATCTGGTGATTCACACATGAAAGAGTAGTTGTTTGGTGATTTGCACAAAGACTGAGCTCCTTCCAAACATGAAATCAAACACTGCAACCTCTTGACCTCTCTTGTTCCAAGGAATTTGTGGCTGAAGCTGCAGTTGGATATATAGTCTCTTTCAGCTGGCAGACGGACAAGGCTTCTACAGAACGAGGGAAGGAATCCCAAGACAGTCGACAGTAGCTGGGCTCTGGATCCAGAGATGGCTGGTTCAGGTCATTCTCTCATCCTATCTCATCCTTCAGGCGGTTTGACATTCTGGATCAATTTGTGTGGGGTCAACGCTGAGCACTCCAATCAAACATTCAACAGAATAGATCCGAGTGGTAGACTCCGCATGGAGAGTCCCACGATGCAGGGAGATGTTGACATCTGACCCACGCCCAGCAAACCCTGTCAAGGCCAGGCCAGCTGAACTTAAACCCTACCATTGGTCCCATAGTAGTGGATGTTCGATGGAGTATCGATCTTGCCAGTCCTCTGCCCCCCTTAACATGGATCACAACTCCCAAGTCTTGTGATTCCAGTAGCAGGAGCAGTCTTCGTCACCCAAGGTTTGAAAATACAAATGGAAATGGCTACAGTACTTCTAAGGCCTTTCGTTGGCTGAGAAGCAGCCATCTCTAATGACCTGTGCCTGCTGTGCCTGTTCCCTCCTAATGGCCAGTATCCGTTCTGCCAATGAGGAACTTTTTGGGTGGCGTCGTTCTGAACTCCTGAGTCGCCAAGGGCCCAAGTAGACACTGAGTTCTAAAAAAGAACTAATAATAACAACAATGAAAAATAAACGCTCTCCTTCTTCACCAGAAACTTTCGGATATCACAGGAATGATTCATGGACCCAAAAAAAAAGAGCCTCATCCAGCCGTATCCAGCCAGTGTTTCCACATTCCACAAGACAACAAAAGAAGACAACACGTTTTCGGATGTGCAAGGATCAGGCCGCGCAAGGGCTGCTGTGAGGGTAATGGCACCAGAGAAAAAGCATGCTAGCCTCAGTGAAACTCCCAAAATGTTTGTGGGACTTGTTGTGTCGAAAATGTCATTGGCTTCAGCCAAATGTGAAATGTCTTATGTTTTTCCAGCAATTAGTTTCTTAGAAGTGTTTTGGTTGGTGTTCGAGGCTTCAAAAATGAGTAGACACCACTCTCCAAAAAGTTTAGGCGAGTATGAATTATGAACAATGTTTCTTTGGTGGTTATGGCTCTGATGATGAGTGGCGACGAGTGGTATTCGGCTTACCTTATTATTGAATTTACAAAGCTTCTGAGGAAAACAAAGTCTGGAGATGCTGTGTTTTTCCGAGAGACCAATTTTCCTCTGACCGGTGTGTCCTTTCCCGCCCCCAAAGTACTAAACACTTCTTCCACGTGTGGCCGCAGTGCACAAGACATTTAACACACCCAAAAGACGGTGGGTTGCGCCGTCTTTCATGGGCCAACCTTTGGTCAAGCACAAACGCCCTTCTTCTAGGGGGATGCCGCAAAACGTTGAACCGGACACAAGCAAGTTTGGTCTAGTTGTCCAACTACCAAGGTTGGTGCACCCGAATGTTCAGCTGAAAGTCAAAACGACACTGACGCCTGGAATCAGGAGCAGCGACACTGGTGGAATCACGTGGCGACCGCCGAGTTTGGTCTATGCAGGCCAGCCACACTGGGACGATCAGAAGCTTGCGGATGATGACCACTGAAAAGGAGATGAACCACTTCCATTCCTAGGATGACTCTTGTGGGGGTGTCACACCAAGTGTAAAGAGCAAAGAAGTCCACCAACCCACTAAGCCACCAATTTTGGGGACTCGCGTCACACGAGAGCAGTCTAAAGGTCTGACTGCTTAGGCAAGCATCATGCTCTTCACCTGCGCAGGTCTCTCTCAAACATGTTTGATTGCAGGATAGTTCGCTTGGGTGGGTCAGAAACCACAAACCCTAGCCCTAGACAATACTAAGCATCGACCTTAGGGGGGAGCCAACCTTCAGAATCGAAGGGGGCATGCGTAGGACGGCGAACAGGGACCGGCGGCTTCGGCCCCAAAAGGCCGTGCGAGTTCGGCGCCGGCAAGGCCATGCTCCGGCGGAATGCGAAGGCTATCTGCGCCGCGAAGTGATAAGGCGGGTGTCGAGGACTTCGAGGCAACTTGGGTCCTGGTCCTCCAAGAGAAGTGGCAAACCCCTCTAGCTTCCAGATCTGGAGAACGAGAAATCTGTTGAATTGCGGAGAAGCACGTTGCGACGTGTGAATTGCTGTTGCTTTCCTTTTCGAAGGAGAAATCACTATGCCGCATGCCTGTTGATCAAACGTCGATGATTTCTTGGAGGAGGGTGTCCGGGAAAGTCACTGTGACAACACTCATATAGCTGTTGCCAGGGGCACAAATGCAAAAGAGTTGCTAGCAATAGCAGTGGCAGAAAGTTGCAGATTCATGCTCGTACCTACAGTCCGCAATGAACCCCAAGTAGATAGAAACTGAATTGAATCACCTTGAACCTTGTCCGCAAGATATCTTGGATTTCTATATTGGAAAACATATCTTTTGGGGATGCTTTGTACTTATGTGTTCAGGACTCCCGCTGCCTAGATTGGCCAAGAAGGCGGTGATCAGCAGCAGATGGAATGCAGAGAAGGCAAAGCTCACCGTCCAAAAAGCCATGTCCTTGCACCAGCGCTGGCCTCAAGTTATGCATTTCTCTGACAGGTGCGACAACACTTATATAGGGTCATGTCTAGCAGGAACCCCAAGCTCAACAAACAGTTGGTTGGGCTTGCCAACCCACCTTCCCTGCCAAGCAGTTCCAAGTCATCATGCAGAGGTCCATGTTGTTTCACGCGCCCCGCTCCACCCCAAAACTATCTTGAGTTTAGCTCCCCATCTTTCTGGATGATTCTGGAAAGGCATCAACCTCCCAGACCTCATCTTGACTCAAGATGACTCATCTTCAGATGTCCACTTGTGCTCCACAAAATCCTTTTGGAAACCTCCAGGTCTTCGACTGGTCAACCTTTGTCGAAACACCAAAAGCCCACTCAGCCAGCACACATTGCTGCTTCCGAACGTTCTCGTCCCGCTTCGTGAAGCTTCTTCGGGCCAAGCGGTACATGAAACTGCGCGGCACAACATTCAAGCACACCTCGGCCAGGAAGTCACCGATGGACGAATCCATCTAACCATGAGAGCTCAATGCGGAAATCACAAACCAGGAGGTAACCAGGAGGTTAAAAGAATAAACAACAAACTGATTTGTAGTCATGGTCATTTTCAAGGGGGAGCCACTGCTTTCCTTCAACACCTGAATGGACGAGATACGGAGACCATGGCCACAAGGACATACCACAAAGCGCTTCCTTGTTGAATCGGGCAGTCTGAAGGATTTCGGGCGGCCACAGCAGACCCATCCACAGAGAAGAACAAGGCCACGAAGCCCAGCGAACCAAGGATGCAATCAGCGTTGATCTTCGCCCGCTTGGCAGCGGTCAAGTGCAAGTCGCATTGACGCACTTCATAGATGGGATTGGCCGACCAGAAGGTTGACCAAAGCAGCAGGAGTCCTGGCGCTTCATCACTCCACCCGAAATTCCAAAGCCGAGACCACAGTCGTTCGAAGGCCCAAAAAGGAGCCCAGCCCAAAATGAAAGAGAGCTTTGAAAGCCCAGTCCTGATCCATGTACAGCAAAGAAGACTTACGGCAGAGTTTCAACCATGTCCGCTTTCATGGCTTTCAGCACAGAGGAGTTTTCCAGCGATGGACTACCTTGGACCCAACCTGAGTTCCGGATGAACACGACATCACTGCAAGTCAGCACGTGAAACAGGCAATGAAGTCTTTTGCAGTATCACCTAAACCCTTAGACTCCTACTAACTAATCTTAACACAACTCAGCACAAATGATCAGAGATCAAACACAAGACAGCATGCACAAGTTAAAGGAATTGAATTGGAGACTTGTCCAAGGCTCCATTCTCACCCCAGATGTGCTGCTCAATGCAACTGATGGTGAGGCCATGCCGCAGTGAAGCTTCCCGAAGGGTATTTTGCACAAGCACACGCTCTTGCATCTTGGACAGGCTCCGTTTTGTCCGGATCTTCTCCTCAGAAAGTGTAGCCCACACAACAAACCACACGGCCACATCAACCGGTCGATACCCGCGGGCCCCGGAATCGACACGGATGGGCTTTTCGGCTTTCGTCCATAGGCTTGATCGGAGCAACAACACAGCTTCTCGGGCAGCCAAGGGGAGACATGCCCCAAACTGGGCAACGACAAACCTTGGGATTGCTTCACGGGTGATCTGAATACGTCCTGTTTCAGACCACGGCTGGACGCCATGGCCATCAGATTGCTGAGTCTCTTGAATGGATTGCAGCTTGGAGTTTGCATCGTTGACGGTGCTGCGATCTGCTTGCTCGCTCTCAGCTGCACGCTTTGAGTTGGACCGCTTTGTCACTGGCAGCACTTCGAGCAGCAAGAACTGATCCCGCCAAAGTCCTGAGATAGATAGTCAGTTAGTCATCCTCTAGGGAATTCAATCAAGAACATTACCAAGAAATATGATTGTGACCTAAGTTCAGGTCTTTTTCCATCGCAAGCCTTTATCTTGTTCCATGTCTGCCAAAGTCCTGTCCGCCCGTGCTTCCGGTCTTGTGCAAAGCCAAAGAGGAGGAGAAGCCACAAACACCTCCAGTGA